TTTTGTTAATGATGTAGCGAGAGACGACTTATTACGATTATATCGGTAGATACACAACACGTAGATATATATTCATAAAAAGCTTCTATGTGTTCGAATTCTTTTCAATTCCTTTAAATTCTTCCAAACTTTTATTTCAATCTCTTGTCACTGTACCTTCATGTTACTACAGCAATCGCCATCCGAAAATTCATAATTAACCGAAATTCTAGTTGCACAGCGTCAACTGTCCCCTCTATTATTAATTTAACTGTCGCGGAACGATTTGAACGATCAGCCTCACTGTAAATTTGATGAACCCGTTTTCATTCGAAGTTACACGTACATACGCGTGCATATCACTCTCGATAACATCACGATAGCATTCTATCCGATGTATTAGAAACACGGCCATCGGTATTATCCGTATTTCAAATACTTTATCGTTCCCGATCCGGATCGAGCGAGGCACTATTCATATACACGCGTTTACATATCAAATATTTCACCGCGAATATTCTCACACCGCGTTCGACGCGTGGATTTCATCGGAACGGATTAGATTTTCTCGTGTACAAATTTCTATAATCTTTCGCTTTTCACTATCGTGTCGTTGTTAAACAGGGAATAAATTTTTATAGGACGATTTCTCTCCCTCACGAACTGTTATGAATTTTTAAATTACTGTAGCTTGTTCGTAGAATATATTAGCAATGAAAGTTTTATAAAATTTTTGAAACTGTTCGCCTCGATATTTGATGTTACTTTGTATTTTGTTGATTTTTCTTTTCTATCTCTACGTTGTTCGAAACAGATTAAAAAGAAAATACGAAACTGTACGTAGTAATTTGTAGCGGAGAAAGTTTCAAATTCCTAAGATGTAAGAACTGTGTGAAATCCAGAACACTACGTCAAATTTTCTACAGATTAATTGAAATTTGACCTCGATTAAACTTTATACATATTGGAACGTTGATGTAGAAACTGAATTTATTACAGAAAACAATTAAAATAAAAATTGCCACACAGTCAAAAATAAATAAAGAGAACACGCAAGAACGTAAGAAAGATCAAGCTGAAAATGACAGTCCTCCCTTCGTCGTACGAAAAACAGAAACAATAGCGTACGACAGTGTAACCTCTCGTAAACTTCTCGAAACATTTTGTCACTATCTCCGTGTACATTGCAACGTATCCGAAAACGGTTGGTACGCGGTAGAAAGAATCCTCTGGGCTGTAATAATTTTCTTCCGGCCAGATTCCACGTTATTGCCGTTCCGGCGTATATCACGGCGAAAGTCGGAGCATCGGTTGTCAAACGTTGGTGAGACACCGAAGTTATCGAGTACATACCCGCATAAATTTCAACGATAGGCTGACGCCGTATATCACGCTGTACTTTACGAGTGAAGCTCCTTTAACGAGCACTCGACTCGATGGACAAAGCGCGTTACGTAACTTCGCTTCGTGCTCTCGGTTATTCGTAATTTACGGAGCAATCGCTCGAAGCCGTTAAATTTACCACCTGATTCTTTCATTTCTTTTTTTTCTTTTTTTTTTTTTTTTTTTTTTTTTTTTTTTTTTTTTTTTTTTTCACCGGCACCTACCTCGGTTTCACGATGGAAGTTGGTAGTTCATAAACGTTCGCACCGCGAATTGCCTCGTTTCATCTCGTGGAAACGAACGCGCGAATTCGTCATTAGCAAGCTTCGAATTCGAAATTTAGGTTAATTAATGAGGGGTTTATATCGTCGGTAGGTCGTTTAACTTCGCTTATGGATACCTCGCGAGATAGGCAGGCTCGTAATTTTGCTGGTAATCTCAAAGAAACTGGGATACCCATGCTTTGAACGAACGTAAATTGCTAATTTGACACGTCACGGTATCAGATATGATTTAGGAGAGGTACAGTGGCTCACGAAAATCTTTCGCGTATTATATTTTGAACATTTTGGAATATTATTACCACGTAGTATTACGACCGCTTTCATTAATCTAAGAATGCGAATAAAAAAAAAAGTGACGAAAAATAAAAACGAATAGAAGAAAATGACGTAAGAAAATTAATATAGAGTATCGAGAACGAATATCTTGAGCATATAACAAGTATTAAATAGTGTAATGTGTATTTATATTGCAATTTCTACATACATTTCACATTTTACCGATATAATTATTATAATAGACACTTTTCACTTCGGTTCTGACAAAATTTGAAAATTTCTCATACAATATACATACGCATATACATAAAAACTTTTCATGCAAAGTGTTAGAATATTTTAATAAGCCGTAGTACATCCTTGACACTGCTAAATTTCGTGTGAAATCATACAGTTTGATCTACTAGCGCATTCCCCGAATTGTTCTTCTCAGTTTGTTCATACTCTAGCATAAATATCCGCACAATTTTGACATTCTCGACAGTTCTCGTCCTCACGAATTTCTTGTATCCACGCTGTCATTTGGTCCATGCATTATCTTCAAAATTTGGCCTTTCGAATGCGTTATTCGTTATCCACTGCAAACGCAGACTGCAAACTTCTTCAACGTCGACATATTCGACCGCGATATTTTTCAGAACCGACGGAACACTGCGGAATGATTTACGATGCGCTTAGAATACAGGGACAAAAGCCGAGGCTCGGTCTGGTCCCCCGGTTAACAGTTCCATTCTCCTTAATTGCATCGTGGATGTATAAACAAGAAACGAGTTCTGGGTTACGCCTGCCACGTCTGAGAAAGCAAAGAAATTTGGAAACTCTCTTTAGCGCCTTCTGTGGGGAGAAAAATGATCCTTCCACTGCGTGGCAAAAAGCACGCAGCGTGATCGAGGAATAAATATCGTCCCCTCATTCGCGCACTCGAGTGTCAAGCGTTACAAAGAAACCGTGGATTATGCTCGTCTCGTTTGTTTGCCAATTTTCGTCTGGACGCCATGTTTACCATGTTTACTTTCCACTCCGCGAACACGCGATTCGGTTGATATGCGCGCCTCCGCGAAAATTTTTACCCCGACCAGGGGCAGAGAGGATCGCAGTTTTTCAACTGAGCAGTGAGAGATCCTCTGGGAAAGATCTAAAAGCTTTTAGAAGCTTCTGCACCGAATTGGAAAGGGATACAGTTTCGTTGCTCAAAACGAAGTCGTATCGGCAGGATGCACAGCGTTGCAAAAATGAAAGAGCTCAGATATTTGGATTTGTATCGATTGACGACTGAAAAGTGTCGCAAAATACGATTTTCTGAGTTTTACATTTGTTTTCTCGAATCCAAATGCCTATGGGGTTAGAAGCCAAAGTGACCCGAATTAATTAGTTCCCACTCGAATTAATGGATCAACAAGTTGAGATTTAATATTCTATCGGTCAATTTTGTACTGTCAAAATATTTGATTAGGGTAACAATGATGGAATAATATAATCATGAATAATGATAATGCTAAAGTGATAGACGATATTATATGTATATATAGTTACAAATTGTATTGGGACTCTCGGTGTATTTGCTACTCGCGTTGCCAAAATTGCATTTATATTTAATACACAAAATGTAGAATATCTTTAGCTCTTGTAAGCGAAGTTGTATTGATATTTGGTTTGATGTATGCAGGATAATAGAATAATGTAATGATAATGATGATGTAAATGACAATAATGATTTAAACAATGACAATAATGAAGTAATACTATTACGAAAGAGAATAATTTTCAATGTATCTTCATCTAGTTTCTGTTTAGGAAACCAATAGAAATTAAATTGCAATAAAAATTTCTAGTAAATTCCAATTCCAAAATTCTAAATTGCAATAAAAATTTCTAGTAAATTCCAATTCAAATTCTAAAAATTAATAATTTATAATTTCCGATATCTTAATAGAAATAAAGCTGTGGAAATTGAAACCTGAGATATTTTTTCAAATTTATAAAATGAATTTAATGAGAGTAACGTATAATTGTGTCAAAATTCATAATGAAGAATTAACAGATTAATACATAGTATGTACATACAATACGAGCTAACAGTTTAAGTACACTCCATACGATGTTTGTATTTTATACTTAATTGTATTTTATACTTAACATTAATTGTCACTGTATGCTACTTTCTGTATACTTTTTGGCTACTCTCTGCACACAGTATGACACTTTAAGCCAATGAACTATTGAAAGATCTATGTATTTTACCTACCGAATCTGTACTCAAACTTTTGGCTGGTAGTGTTCGTGTAGATTTCATTAGTCAAATCTGCGTTTAAAATCAATTAACAATCCGATACCACGAGCTCGAGTAAGAGTAATATTGAACGAGCATGAAACACCGTGAATTGATAGAAACTTTCAGCCTCTCCATTCGTTTCTGCTTTTAATTTCAACTTCGCTTCAGCCTCGCCTCGATGAAAAACCAAGAAACATCTCCATCGACGAAATTCGTCGACGAGGGGGGAATCGTTGAAACGCGCTTTTCAATCTGTTAATTGAATTTGTTAATTGAAACGAGATTAAGCACGGTACAACTCGTGGTATCGAGATGAGAGTTTGGTGAATAATAATCTGAGAATGTAACCGGTGACCGGTGTTTTCTTTTAATTAGCCGCGTGAGAACGCTTCGAGCTATCGGGACAAGTAACCTTCCAAATGACTCTTACGTTCTTTGCACAAATCGAAGAGATTATTACGTCGTCGGAGAATTGATTGGAACTTCGTTTTTCCAGTCGGGAAGATTCTTTCAATCGGTATTGTCGTAGAATTATTTCCCTCACTGATGTTACCGTTTGGTTTTTCGTTGGATTGTTAACCGAATTCTTAACGTCATATTTCTAGAAATTTATACTATTAAAATTCTCGAAAATTCGTAATTAATTTTCAACAATATCACCATTTTCAACACAAGCTACTTTAACAAGCATTGACAAGTTCTGTTACGAATGTAAAATTCGGGTCTTAGCGATACATTTTCGCGTAATGTAGCAAGCGGCAGCGAGCGAGCAGGCTCGATAATTTAAAATCATAGAACGTACGTACGGCGTTAATGTAGTTGTAAAGGGAGAGACCGTCGTCCCAGGGCTCTTCTTTCTCGCACGATAAATTGGCAGGCCTGAGGTCGTGGCTGCGATCCAACGCCGCCAAACCGTGCGCGAAAACCTGCACGCTGTCGTACACCAAAGCTGGTTCTGCCTGAAACATACGTTTCCCCTCGTCTGAGAAAGTTGCCTGCGTGCGTCTCGTTTCTATCGCTGATTTTCCTGGCCTAGTTTACCTTGGCTTTGTCCATTTTGTCCATTGGCGAGAAAGTTCGCTGGACAAGTGTAAAAAATCGAGTTTCTCGGCGGGTTTCACCCAACAGAGTAAATCCATTGTCAATTCGCGGTCGAAGAAGATTAAGCGATAGAAGATAAACGTCAAAAGCAACCGCAGAATTTCAGAGAGAGAGAGAGAGTTTGTCCGATGTTTCTGAATTGTTCTACGGTCTGTTGTTCGAAATTTATCGAATCTACGAGATGGAATCGTGACGTGTTGTATTACGATGTATTTGTGTCACAAAACTTTCTGTTTGACCGTGTCCTCTCAGGCGTATCTTGAAGTTCGAGTGTTTCGAACAAATACAATAAAATTAAACAACAAGAGAATTGAATTAACGTTGTTACGACGATTATTTCCTTTTGAATGTGCAAATATGCGATGGCTTGCGAGTGAAACTGTACACTGTTGCGCCAAACGCGAAATAACAGATATTAAAAAGTCCCGTTCTAGCTAAATAATTTCTGAATTTCTGTACTTTGGATCTGGAATTGTTTTTCGCAAAATTGGGTAACGATCACACCTAGAGACTTTTCGTGTCTGAGAAACGTTAGTAAAGAAAGAAAGAGAGAGAAAGAGTGAGAGAGAGAAAAGGTACGTCGGTGATTGTTAAAACTCTTAAAAAGAAACTGGAACGCGTTTCAAGCACGCTCAGTCGAGCGGTCTCAATTTCCGTTGCAACTTCCGCCACGAGTCTCGCTTAATTACTGAAATGCTGACAAAGTAGCCGGTAATCGACTGTCGCTCTTCTCCTTCGTCGTTCTTGCCAGTTTAATGCTCTTTATTGTTTTATTATACAATTGCAGTGCAATCTCGGAAACGGTAGCGATTTCTCAAATCGCTGTACAATAAATCGAAAAGAAACAATAACGGTGTATTATACTCCGATAGTATCGTTCCAGTAATTTAATTTATATCAAATTACTAAAATTTTTAATTTTAATACATTCAAAATATTAAGTAAGGTTAGTTTAAAGTTTAAAAATTTAATTAAGGTAAAATAGTAGGTAATAAATTTTATAATTTATTCCTTAATTTTGCTTTATAGCTTATAGTTTCTCTGACGGAGACTAACGAAACGGGACCAAATTAAAAATTTAGAAATTAAGTAATTTAATAGTGTTCAATGCTGGTTAGAGAGTTAAGTAGTACTTGACAAATCTTCGAACTCGATTCTCTCAGAAACGAAATCTTGAACGAAGAAAACTCTTTTTTTTTCACATAAAGATTCTTTTTCATGTAATTTCATCTCACAGAAAAAAATCTCATTTCATCGTCCAACTTCGGACGCCAAAATGTCGAGTATACACGGGTTTACATTCCGTTTCGATTTCCACTGAATGAGAAGAGAACGTGCTCGAAATACCGTACACAGAATACGTAGGTGAACATTATATATGAACAACCAAAACTAATAAAGACGTAAATTATAGCGAAACGCCGCGCCGGCGCGGCGAGCCAGCAAAGCGCGCACCTGCAAACCTGGATCGATTTCCATAAATATCAAACTAATTAAACAGATTTGCCCGTATTAATTTCAAGATCGTACGAGCGTTATCACGCCGAACTTTTAATGCAAACGTACCTTTTCGGTTTTCTGCCGAGCGTGATTTCAATAATTCCGCTGAATTTCACCGGGCGTGAAATCGCCTCGATTTTACCCGCGCGTCTGTATTTCCTCCCCTAAGCGTTTCATTAACCTGCAACACGGCGTTTCATCCGCGGTTGACAATAATCGAAAACCATTAAGAACCGCGTCAGTCGTGTACTCTTTCTTCTCCGTCGTATAATTTATTTAAAAATGCTCGGCGGCCGTTAAAATCGATGCCAATAGAAGACAGAAATCTTCCTTTTTAAAACAGTTTTCGTTTTGTTCAAATCGGGCATTTCGTTTTGGAGATATCGTCGTTCGAATCGGACCATAGTTTTTGATGCCTCCTTTTTGCTCAGGCGCCAGCGCTGACCTAACCCAAGTGCGACACGTGCGCGCCGGTCAGTGCTGGACACTGAATCGGTGTGATTTTTACTACCACCACCGTTGCTACTACGCGCTGCGTACGCAGATCCAGGAATCGAAAGTGGGTCACGTCACTTTCCTACAATTTCCTGCAGGACTCCCATTCAGAATCTCGTCCAGTCGCACCGCGGTTCCTTTAAACGCGTTTATATCTTGAGAACTAATGGTCGTATCGAGTTCGAACGAAGCGCGTTTCGAAAGGGAAACTTCTCTTTGAGAAATTCTCACGGCAAACGAGTATTTCGGATGTATTTCGTTCATTGACAGTTAATTTTTCTTGGCGTTTAGATGTTTACTTTTTTTGAAGTTTCATACTTAGAGTTACATTTTGTGAAAATGAAAATTTTCATTGCGATAAAAATGGAATATTGTATTTTATTTATTGTTGATTGCTTTACAGAGAATGCTTTAGAAAGAATACAGCGATTTTTAGGCATTTCATTGTTGGAATTTTTGGGAAAGTTTATTTTTTGAAATTTCGAACTTTAACGTTACAGTTTAACAATTTCTACAATTTATTCGCATTGTTGTATTAAAATATGTTATATAGCTTTCGAAATCTGACGGAGTTTTATAATTGTTATATCAAACAAAGTGTTTTCTTCATTATCTTTATTAACGTTATATCTTTTTTATGAGAAAAATTTGTATTGCGAAAGGACGGGATATTATATATTCTGTTCCAAGATTTGTATTTTTGCAAATTACTTGTCGTATCAATTTTGAACAAAATTTTCTCTCATATTCTAAGTATTAAATTCCCATTATACAACGATGGAATATTATATTTTGTATAATAATTGATGATTACACTGAACTGTTAAAATCATTTTATTTTTTGTATTTTCGGACGAACGATCTCGTGTAAATTATCCACTCAATATTCCTTACGAATCATTCATAACGACGCTTCCGAGTTTTCCCGAAAAATTAATTACCATCGAAACATGTGTTTCAAACTCGAGATCAAAACAGAATATCAACAAGTTTTTTCACGCGTTTCGGTTTTAATATTTTAATTTAAACGCCTTCGTTCTTTATACACCGGAAGTGGGTCGCGATTCCTTTTTTAATATCTCTTAATTGCCAAGTTAAATGAAACCCTTAGCTGAAAATTCTTAGCCACGCTACTCTATTCTTACGATGTATTTACTCGGTCCACTTCTATTCGAATTATTTTCAGCTCGAAACCGCCCTCGCCCTGTGGGCATCGACTTTTGCCCAGCCATGCGCGATATTTCCCGACGCAAACCCGCAGGTTAGGCCAACGCCATCGTGAAAGAATGCACCGACCTCGAACGTTGTGTGTTCTTTCTTCAAACTTCGCGTGTTCGCATGTTCGCGTGCTTGCGACGAGGGAACGCGGAGGAATCGTTTTCCGTTTCGACGGGCAAGCCTGAGCAACTAGAGAGAGTGGAAAAGACGAGTTTCAGAGTGTTAGCTAGCGACTTCCGGTGGCCGAGCATACCACGGGGTCACTTGAACTTTCCACCAACCTGGATAACTCCGGTTTTGTTGAGAATCGCGTGGCCAATCGGCTGGAAACGTTCCATCTGCCGTAGAACTTCGGCCACCTTCGGTTCCTCCAGGTCCACCAGACGGAACGCAGTCATGTTCACGCTGTTGTACTTGAAATCCTCCAGATCGAACGTCTCTATGTCCTGCGAAATCATATTTCGTTCACCTTACTCTGGGGACTTGAGAAACTAACATTGTATGGATTGTAAATTTTTTTTTTTTTGCATTGTAATGAGCAGAGCGTGGATATTTATGCAAGTTTGTATTCTCGGGAGAATAATTTGAAAAATAAGATTTGGTGGTGAATATTTTGAAATTTTATTATAACAAGTAGAGGCCATAGGTATCTACGCAAATTATTTTTGGGAGAACATCTTAAAAGACGGAATAATAATATTCCATCGTTTATAGTCAAAATTTCATTTACCTTACAAGAAAGAAAAATTATTAATTTACTTCAGTTTGGTGTTTGTTGTTTGTTTTTACTCCGACTAAGAATTCAGAATAATTATTATAAATAAGTTATCTGGTATTTTTGTATTAATGAGGTTTAAACATCTTGTGTAACATGTGTTCAAGATATAATCCACCAAATATCGAGGATTATTAATTATTAATTAATATATTACGAATAATAAAAACTGTTGAATTGCTAAATCAAATGAGCCAAGTATCTGTATCAAATTTTAATATGATTTTGAAACATATCGAATGACTTACACGATACAGTCATAAAGAAATATCTACAAACATCGCGCGTTGAATTATCGATATATTAATTCTTCATTATATTTTCAATTTATTATATTCGTGGATGAAAAACAAAAAGAAAAAAAAAAGGAACTCAAAGAAAAATCATCAATAAAGCGTTATCCGATAGGAGATTGGCGCGCTTTATTGCGTCAGAATGGAATGTTCGCTGCAACGTTCCATTCACGCCAGGTCCAAATAAATTCGCGTGAAATGCTCTGTTAATAAAAACACTCTTCTGATCGCTACTGTATTTTCCGATATTTGAGTCGCGTTAAAATTCCGACTTATTAAAATTCCGTTGAAAATCGTTGAAAACCGGTTTCATCAACGATCCGGAGAACCGAGTTCCTTTTAAAAATAGGGATCAACGTCGAGCGAGTTTCTTTTGTCAAGGAAAATTTATCGGAGGTTCTATATATATATATATATATATATATCCAATCGAAGATCTTTTATCCAGCTGAATAGAAGAAGTTCTCAATTGAAGAAAAACATTATTGTTGCGAACTGCACAATTATATACTAATAATTGGAATTTATATAGTAAGAGTTCACTGATTCTCCTAAACAAATGTAAGGAGAAAGTGATCTAATTTTAATTAACAAATTAAATTAATTCTCTTCGACACAACAGGCTAGTAATATCAATACAGGTTTTTGAAAAACTACATTAATAGAACTGTGAAAGATTTAAATTAAACAATACATACCTTAAAAAGTGGCCTACGAATTTATCACTAACTCATTAACTAAAAATTTTAATCGTTGTAATTATAAAATTATTTCATAATAGCCAGCGTGTGTTCAGTGCATACACATATAATGATAATAACATACAGATAAGAATAAAAATTTTTAATAATAGTAATATTTTATACACTCAGTCCCTGTCTTTAAAGATCTATCTAGTTTAAACAAGTTCAGTTTAATAAATTTAGTTCGAAATCTAAAATTCACGTTTCCCCCAAGTCTATTTGAAATTCGCGAACGTACGCAGAATTTCATGTTTGACTGCCATCGCTCATTTTCAATCTCCGTCAATTGAGCCAATCCACCTCCGAGATTCGACAGATAATATTATTTGCGTATAATTTAATAATTATTATAGAGCGATGCGTCACTCGCATATAACGCAAATAAAGCGAACACGAAAGTTCAACGACCGACAGATAAAGCTGCTTTTCGCCTCGAAGGAATTTTCTTCGACTGCCCTATCATCCCTCCCTCCATCCCTGCATCGTTCTTATGGATTTTTGCCTCTCTTTCTCCTCTTTCAAGCGTGTTATTTTTGCCTCGGATCGCGATATCGCGAACAAGCCTGTCATCGTAAGCACCGGCAGCGCTCTCGTTGAGTGATTTATTCGAGGACCCGCAGTTATGTTTATGTAACGCGTTCAGAAATCGGCCAAGATAAAACATTTCTGTGCGATTTCGCGTCCTGCGGAGCGATAAGGGCGTGAACGAGGCTGCTCCACTTGGAGATGCAGACTCCAGGCTGTGTACATGGAGGTACATTGTTTGGATATCGACAATTTTGAGGAATATATGGACGTGTGCATGTATACTGACGCGTGCTCCACGTTGAATTGGTTAATTTAACTTTTGGACGATGGTGATTTAAGTGGAAGAGTTGTAAAACAGATTTTCGTTGATGGAATTAACATGTGCTCCCTGAAATTTTGAATAATTTGAAATTGACACTAGAGAAAAATTCAGTATAAAAATTTGCTTCTTATTATTCGCGATTATGAAATGAATATGATAAGTACGTGAAATAATGTTCTTCCTTTAATTGTCATATACCGGAATACCTTGGAAAGTTCAGATATTCAATAAAAGAAAAATTTGAGCATGAAATATGAAAGCTAATAAATTCCATGTAAGAAAAATTTAATATGGGAGATGAAATATTCAATAAAGGGGAAATCCGGTATAAAAAGTTGCTTCCTCGTACGTAAAATAGGAAATATGCTACTGGCAATGAATTGAATCTGATCGGATTGTGCGTGCGAATGCAAAACTATTCACTGAGGATTAATAGTGTTATACTATATATATACATAAAATGCAGGTATGACATACGCAGCAAGCGTATAATAGTTCCAGGATAGTTTAGTAGCAATTAGACTGGCAATTAGGCTACGATAAACTTGAACGTCAGTATTTCGAACAGCCTCGGAGTTGTGATTAGTAATTTTAGTTTCGTTGCCAAATTATGCCTGTTATGTATGATTGAGCTCTAAATACACTTCACATAGGAAGAAACAGTCTTTTCTCTGAATTATCAATAAGATATTCTTTTACAAAATATACCAATTTAAAAAATTGCCAATTGAGAGAAAAGTGGGAAAAATGTATCAATTAAAAAGTAGACTTTTACGAAAGGATAGACGAATCAATGAACACTGATGAAAATAGTACGCACAGGTGGACTTTTAAAATTTCAATTGACTTTTTAAAAAATTTTAAAAATTTTTTAATTCAATCACTATTACTATCAGAATTTAATTAGAACGATATTCAATTTTTTTAATTCAATCACTATTACTATCAAAATTTAATTAGAACGATTTTGTTCGAGTTTAAGTTTCGAGTGTCAACTAATTTGTTGAAAGATTCATGATATATTTAAAAGATTATTTTCAGACTATCACGTGTATGCTGTACTAATTATTACATATAATTTTCAACAATTAAAGAAATAATAGTATATAATCATTTAAACAGAACATAATATGCTAAAAGCTATTTACAATTTTATACCAAAATTTAATTTCAATTCTAACCAGTAGAAATATTGTAATCTTGTAATTGACTCATTACAGATTGTATATATAGATTGTATTATTATATATTGTATGTTTTATTATATGCTTTTAGACACACACTTCTATTATAACATTTTCCACTTATATGTCAATTCTTTAGCTTCATACTGCGTAATTTTTAACAATTTTTAACAATTTTATTATTAAATTCAACAATAATTTATTAAAAATGTACGTATTTAGTAGCTAAAATAATAATTTTACTACGTGATGTAGTAAAATGTTTCATTTCTCAAATAAGGTAAGATGTAGAAAATCTTGAAACTCGATGTTGAAAATATAAACACAACGCTTACGTGTGCATGTTAGACTCTTGTTGTTAATCCTCGATCCTGCTCGAACTAGTTTGTTCAGTAACATCCCATCCCCTTACTTTATTTTTTCAAAATAAAATAAGGCGTAGAAAGCCTTGGAGCTCGGAACTCGAGGTTGAAAACAAACATAACGCTTATGTGTGTGTGCGTGTGTGTGTAAAGCTCTTATTATTAATTCTCGAGCCTGTTCGAACCTTTTCGCTCAGAGTCGCCCCATCCTCTCCTCTTTTCTTAATTGCGAACCGAGACGTGTCGCGGAGAGTCATTTGGCGGTCGAAATTCGTGATGACAACACGTATTATGTACGTCGCATTTCGTAATCTTTCCTAACCTATCGGTTAGCGTCTCTCCGATGGCGTCGCTTCTTCGACACTCTTTTACTTCCATTTATACCTCATTAATAGCAATATTTAATTAATACGCGTGTATTTAACGATTCATTGAGCATTACGACAATGAAATCGTGTAGTGATTTGAAATTTTTTGTGGCAATTTTTCCTAAATCGCCGATTTTACTCGATTACCTGCAGATCATCTTATACGTCTTTTTAATAGAAATTGATTAACGTTTCATTTTTACACGTTTGCCTTCATTTGACCTATTTGTTCTGACTTTTGGTTTCTCTTTGTGCAGGTTATTCCTTGATTGCGGAGATAGCATAGAACGCCACTATTATTAATGGACAATTTGATGAACTTTCACGGAAATATCGCACCATTTTATTCATTTTGGGTAACATTACAATTCATATATATTTGAAATGCAATTCATAATACGTAATTTTGTAATTATTTCGAGTACAAAAATGAAAATTTTATGATTTACAACTAATATTCAAGTTTCTTAAGAATTATGTTCTAGAATAATAGCAGTATTTTTTAAATAAACGTATCCTTCGCCCTCTTCTTACTAACCAACTTTATTTCCAGAAAATTTTTGTGACCGCGCGCAATGCGGTCGGTGGAGTCAGTGTTTGTTGCGCAGTATTTTAGTATTTTTCTGAGCAAACTGGCTCTCATTAAATTAGATTAAATTCTATTAAATTATAATTCGCGAAGTTAGAATCAGTGAGTCCGCCGAATGTTACTTAAATGCGCGCGTTGATAGTTCTTTATTTTTCTCTTTCTGTATTTTTTCTTGTTCAATATTCGTTTACGGTGTATTAGAGTCAGTGCTCAAGAAGATAAGGCCTCTCCAGGAGATCAAGATCGTAAGTAGCTTTATCTTCAATTTTTCAAATTTAACAA